GCTAGACTGGCCAGGCAGGATTCCTCCTCGCGCTGCAGCGGGGAAGCGTCGGCCGGGGGAATCCCTCGGTCGGCTGCGAGCTTTGTGCCACTTCATGCTTTGTGCTCTGGGCTTAAAAAAGGAAGAAAAGGTGCTCGAGCTCGGCGACGCCGCCGGGGTCCCGTGGCTTGAGTCTAGAGGTTGGGTGGGAACCGTTTGCGTCGGTGGTGAGTGAATTGTGGAGTTCGGAGGTGTGGGGCGTTGGTTCTTTCAACAGAAACGTTCCCCGTTGGGTTGCGGGGAGGGGGACTCGAGCGTTTGCTTGTGGGTGGAACGGCTCTCGGGGAGCTGCTGAGCTCCTGGCTGCGGGTGAGGAGGCTGGAGAGAGCGGGCATGGAAACGCTGCCCTCTGTACACCTGGAATTCCGTAAAACTACTGGGTTTGTGGCAAGAAAACCGCTGTGGTGGGCAGGTGAGTCTCGAGAAAACGCCTGTCTCCTTAATACACCCGTCCTCTACGCTGGGATCTGCATCCCCAGGACTGCAGCACCGAGGTCTCCGCTGGTGTCCTGCTGCGGCTCAGCTCTGCGGAGGATCTCTCTGGCCCGTCCTCGACTCCTGCTTAGGTGCAGATTTCTCTGCCCGAGCAGCCACGGAAGGGCAGGAAGAAAGAAAAAGGCTGAAACGATGTCGGCCTCGACCAAAGCCGTGGGAGCGGGCGGGTCGCTTACCTGAAGGTTTTAAAACTAGATTTTGGCCCAAAGCCGCTCCGGCAGGTGAGCGGCCGTCGGGGCCGTGCAGCCGAGCTGTGGGACGTTGGGGTCTGGCGTTCAGAGGTAGAGTTGGTCCTTTTTAAACGAAGCTCCTCCGGAGGTGTTGGGCCGTGAAATCTCTCCCTCCCGCTGCAGCGATGCGAGCGAAGCGGGTGAGATCTTGTGCCCGCTCCAGGTTGGAAATCGTCTTTTAAAACGCGCTCCTCGCATCCCATGGTCTAGGGCAGACTCGGGGTTGTTGACTGTTACGGGGCTTTCACTTTTCATAATTCAAAAGGAAAGGAAAAAAAAAAACCAAAAAAGATCTGCTTCTGCTTGTTGGGACTTTTTTTCAGTACAACTCCCCAGGGTACCCGAGCTGGGTTTGCTGCCGCCGTGTTCGCAATCACGGATGGAAATCAGCCTGTGATGTTTGTCCTGGTTTCTTGCAAATACACTTGCAGCAGCTCCGCAGCCTTTCCTCCCATCACCCTGCGCAGAACGCTGCGTGCGCTTTTATCTGGGTGGATGAATCAGAGGCCGGGCACAATCAGCAGCAGCAGCAGCACTTAATTTTACAGTGAATTTAATCTTGTTTTCCTGAAGCCCGGCTGAGAAACTTGCGCCTTTCGTAGGGGTCGCCAAAAAACTCCCGTGTCCTGGAGTAACAAACCGACTCCGTCCTGTCGTGCCCGTGCTCGGGTGCCGCCGAAGGGAGTTACTCCCTCCTCGGTGGGCCGGGGGCCGCGCGTGTGTCGCGCGTACGCGGCGGCTGTGGCTGCTCTCCTCTTCAAAGCCACCTTGGCTTTCGGAGCCGGTTAGGAGCCGCCGCCTGCCCCGGAGGACAGCCCCGAGCCTGGGAGATCAGCGGCTCCGTGGGCCGGAAGGTCAGGGGTACGTTTCGGAAGGTCTGGTTGAGGCTTTTGCCTTGCAAACCTGCTCGGTCCTACCTGAGCGCCTTCGCTCAGGCGCTGGGTTTTCCTCTCAGATTTGTAATTTTGGGAGAACCAACGTGGTCGCCCCCAAGAAGCGGCTTCTCCCAGTGAGCGTTGAGCCCAGGAGAGCGAGCGCTGGGCATTTCCGTAGGTCGGAAACCCAGGAGCAACCCCTCCTGCACAACAAAAGTAGGTCAGAAGAACTTCCCTGTGTTCATTTCAACTTGGGAAGCCTCTCCTTTCTTCAACCTTAAAAATTCAGGGGGGGAAAATCCACCCGCTGTGGGATAAGCTGCCCCGTGTGTGCCTGCCTCGGCGTGCTAAAGGCTCGCGCTTTGATTCTGACGTAGCTCCAGCCCCCAGCCGCCGCACCGCGTTCTAGTTTTGTCTGTTAAACCTCAGAGCCTGCTCGGTTCTGCCCTGAGCGCGGTCGCTTCTGCAGCCTGCGATCCCGTCGCTCTAATGAGCTCTAAACAAGTTCAGCGAGGACGGTCTAAAGCGACTCCCTGCGTTGCAGGTAATCCGTGTAATTAATGTATGCTCAGACAGAAAAGCACTGTTGTCTAATTAAAACGTCGTTGGAGAGGGAACAGCCTTCCCTTCCCAGCTCTGATCTAAGCCAGTCCGTCCAGCCCGGTTAGTCCCTAAAACCTCCCTGTCTCACTTTCCACATTGAAATAATTGCTCTCCAGGGGTTAAAAGCTTCAGCCAGAGAAGTTTCCAAAGGCGTG